CCATCTAAGATATAAATGAGTTTGTTTCTTCATTAGAACAGATTTAGAGAAATGTAGCATTACATCACTTGTTAAAAAAAAAAAAAAAAACCGGTTAATTTTCGTTTTTTGGGGGTAATTTTATTATGGTTTGTGCTACTTGCGTGTTTCTTTATTTGTTTGTGTTGTGAGAATTTGCAGCGTGTTTTGTATTTGGTTGTGTTGCGAGTATTTGCAACACGTGCTGTCAAACTGATGAAGTCTTTTTCTTAATTTTGTAGCGAATCAGCTCAAAGGGGGAATATGCATAATTAATCATAACTAGTTATAATTAATTATAAATATTTAGATCCGCTGTAAGTATTTACTTGACCTCTCAGGGTCAACTGTCTGTCAATTCTAAGAACATGAATTTCCTGGTTAAGGGAAATAACTTTCTTACTGTACATAATAAGACTAAGTTTGATACTTGCACGTCTTGTCTGTCTGAAAGAGAGTCCTGATGCAATCTGAAGGCTCAAGTTGATCTTTGCTGAAGTTGGTTGATGAAAAAGAACCAGTTTGAGTCAGAGAATCCCAGTGAATGGAAAGTGTCTTTCTTATGAGGAAAATGAGTGAGTTTCTCTGCCCGCATTTCTTTGGGCAATAAAACCAGTGACATCAGCATTGGTTGCCATGGAACCAGAGGCCTGTTCTGCCTTTTGGAGGTGTTAAGACGCATTTTGGGGGAAGGGTCCATAGACCCTCATATGGCTTGTTAACTGAGGGGTGTTACAGAGTATTTGTTAAATATAACTAAAAAAATATATATTGTGTGTCTGATTGGTCCAGACGCTACAATTTGGTTGTGCTTTTTCTTTTTACATGTGTTTTCTGAGGTTGCAGCGCGTTGGGCTCTCTCAGCCACCGTTTATTGTAAAGTCATGCAGTGTGTAACCTCCTGTCGCCGATCCATCGTGCAATGTGAGCACAGCAGCAACTGAATGCTACCCCAGATAGTCGTGAAAACAACGCTGTTCAGATGACTTTGAAAATTGTGAAGTGTGAACTCGACATACGTACCGTCTAAACTTTCTCTTTTAAAATAAAATGCAAAAAAAATGTCATGGGGTTTTAGATTTTTTGCATGGTTTTTAGAGAAAAATAAGCACAAATCTCTGTCAATTTTCATTATTGTAATGTGAAACAATGACATATTATTAAAATTGTAAAGTACTGCCATATCATGGTAGTAAATTTGTGCAAAAAAATCATTGTAGTCTGCACTATTTTTATTGCTATACCATCAACAATTGCAGTATTGCAGTAACGAGAATTATCATTGACAACATAGGGAGTTACAAAAATTACATATTCAATGATGCCAAATATTCATTTTTTTTCCTCTTTGATGCAGGGGTGAAACATGACCCAAACATTTCTTCATGAGGCTCATGTAATGGGGTTTCAATTGTCTCTGTGTCATAGAGGGTTTAGAAAGCCTGTCATGGAGCAAAAAAGTGAGCAATAATCATGATTTATTGACTTTTATTGAACCCTCTGTCTTTCAACACAGCACATTACACAATATAGAGCGCTGCAATAATGTCTTCGACTTCATTTGCTCAGATTATATGATTATACATGGAAAGGCCACATGAGGAAAAGCTCATTTTGTATGTAGCATATCCATCACTGTGTATGTGCATGACTTAGAGTGTGTGTTTGTGTAAGCAGGTGCATATGTGTGTGTGAGTTGATTTTTACCCATAATTGAAAGTGATAAATGGAGCCGACACAGTATTGGCTGTACCTCCAGTTATAACAACCCCTTTTACTAATGCTCTCAAAATACAATCGTTCACCAAAGCTCAGCCAACAGTCGGACAATGGGCCGCTGCCGTTGGGAGTAGGACTTTCATAGCTGCCTATTGTCTTTGGGCTGGTTGGACAACTGGACTAAACAAATAGATAAACCCGAATAAACAGCACAAGTTTATAATCAGTGCTTTGGGAGAAAATTAGATGCTTTATGTGTGTCTTTGTTTGTATGTGTGAGGCAAAATCTATAATCTGTTCAACTAACTTAGCATGTACATAAACATACATCTAAAAAAGAGAAAATAACATTATGCAGTCTTGCTGAATCCACAATGAAATCACTTGATTTACAACATAATAGCGTGCAATGACTCGCTGAAGACAAAATGATCTAGATTTTGACATTTTCTGAGAAACATGAGAATGTTTCCCTGTGCAAAACTCGCTAACACCACTGTTCAAAGTTGGTTGCCAGTGTGTTGCTATGTGGTTGCTAACGAGTTGTGGCTAGGTAATTACACGTGTGAAAAGAAGTATGCTTTTGAATTGTTTTGAATGTGCACTTGTAGTGTACTTCAAATCTTAAAAGTGTATTTAAAAAACTGTACTTACAGAAAGTATAATATCATATTAATGAAATAAAAGGCCACTTAAGTGTATTTAAGGAGAGTTCACTTTCATGACTGTTTCTTAACACACTTAAGTACACTTTTATAATGGTCATTAACATTGTACTGTTCTCTGAGGTCCACTTATAATGTTATCAAGATTTTTGCATCAAAAAACATCATAATTTAGAAGTAATACGCTATTTTCTGTCCTGTTTTTGACCCCCCTCATCAGATCGCTCTGTTTGAATAGGTGTGGCAGATTGTAGACTCGGAAGTAAACGCCCACTGCTATGATTGGCTAACAGTTGTGTATGTTTGACAGTCTATGTCCTTCACAGATGGACTGCAGTGATTTAGGTTAAAAACGCATAAATACTCAGTACATATCAAACGATCTGGTTAACAGACAAAGCAATAGTGATCACATAATAAAAACAGTTACTCACACTTGTGTGCGACATTACTGTCGGATCCAATATAGTCGGCACAGCATCGTCTTTTAGTTTCAATCTTTTTGAAAATCCTGCACCGAATTGAGCCTTATTTGTAAACGAATCCGTGGTAAAGTTAAGTGAACAAAGGACCAAGTTCTTACTGACGCAGTCTGGCATTTCATTAAAAATACAATTCTTTCCTAGCATTGGGATCAGAAGGAAGGCAACGCAAACACTGTTTTTCCACAACTTCGCACTGCACAGTGTCTTGTTGTCTTCAGAGAAATCTTTATCGTTTGGTTTCTGCATAAACCTGGATGTTCGCCTCTCTCGTAAACACTACATGTGCGAATCGGTGGGTGGGGCTAAACAGGCAGTGATGTAGAATCGTGGGCAGACCTAAACAGGCAGTGATGTAGAATCGTGGGCGGGGCTAAACAGGCAGCGCTGTAGAAGCAGGCAATGAGAAAGTTTTGAGTTCTGAAACTTACAGGATGTTTTTATAGTACAATGACCTCTTATATGTCAAAAGATCGTAATCAACATTGTTTACGCTCAGTAGACAGCGCACGCATGCTGAACGTAAACAACGCTGATTACATTGATTACGTTCTGGGGTACTCTCCAAAATGGCGGAAGATGGTAACTCGGGGAGAAGAATTGCTGAATAAATGATGTTATTATTGTTTTCTTTGTGCACAAAAAGTATTCTCGTAACTTCTTAAAATTACGGTTGAACCCCTGATGTCACATGGACTATTTTAACGATGTCCTTGCTACGTTTCTGTGTGTTGATCGTGGTAATATTCTTGCTGTCTATGGGAGGGTCAGAGAGCTCTCAGATTCCATCAAAAATTGTGTTGCGAAGATGAATGAAGGTCTTATGGGTTTGGAACGACATGAGGGTAAGTAATTAATTACAGAATTTTCATTTTTGGGTGAACTATCCCTTTAAAAACTCTATAGAAGAATCTATTCCAGAGAGAATCATGATGCATTCGGAAACTCTCAGAATCAATCCACGAATTGCGATGCAGCCCTAGCTGCAGCGCACTTCAGAAACCCTCCAGCTTCCCCAGCTCCACCTGTATAGATCTGCTATGGGGTGATCATGTATGCTATATGGGGGTTATTCATGTTATATGTGCAGCAGCAGTATTTCTTACATGCTCACAGCAGCATATCTGTGGATGGATTGGCAGTATAAAGTCTCGGTACTTACTCTGCAGCAGCGTAGCAGATCTACTACGCCAAGACCAAACACATTAACATTGCCATTACCATGCTAAACTTTCTGAGAGTTCTTGTGACAGAAATGTATGTATGTATTTATTTATTTATTTATTTCTGCTTTGCATATATGACTCAGTACTTTTCTTCCGTAGAAATCAGTAGAACTCATAGGAGTTCTTTCTTTGTTTTACCATCCATCAGGCCAAAATCTTCCTGCAGGATGAGTTATGAAGTGCTGTTTAATAGGTTTAGGGTTGTCTTCAATCCCTCACTGTAAGCATGAGCAGTAAAATAGTGGTGCTTGTTTTAGCCAACACCACTAAACATATATCTCAGCGTGATAAAACAAGTCATACATATCTTAATAAAGATATAAGACATGGAAAGAGACAAGAAGTGTAACAAAGAGATGTTTGCTAAAGAATTGAAAATGAAAGGACAAGCTGGAGGCAGGAACTGAGGTTAAGAAAGAAAGAAAGCGAGTCAAGGGGGAAAATGCCTCTCCAGAAAGTCAGCTGCCACTAAATCGCTGTTGTCATGTTGATGACTGTTGTGGGTTTGCCTTTAATGTATTCAATCCCTCATAGATGTGAGATTAATTTCATGAACCCATATATCAATCCATTAAACGTCCCTTAATGGTGCCAGGATGTTTCTAAACCAAAGCGCATTAGAGTCTGCAAACACATGACTAATTGCAAAAGAGCAGCTTTTCTCTGTAACATCCCATGGGCGCTTTTCTGTTTAATAGCAAAACCACAGTGTGGGACCATCGAGAACTAATAAAACTATGAAAATAAAACAAGTGGGTCTCATGAACAGCACAGCGGTCACATGAACTTGGATGTCTTTGTTCTTCTTCTTAAATGGCTGGTTTGCTTGAAAGTCAGAGGCAAACCAGATGAAATTCAGAGCTGTGTGATATTTTGTCTTTCCTGCAGGCTTTCCATGAGGCCGAGAGAGGATGACATTAATCTTCAGTACTGTTCTCTGGCACAGCGGTGTCCGGCCAGATGATGCCAGGTAAATATCAATTTTTTGTGGGTCTGAGCCAGAGGGCGGCCATCAATTCATAACTGATTGGCTAAATTTCTTCTTTGTTTTTAACAAGCCCACCATGGTCTTCTGCACAGGGAGCTGTTGGAGGAAAGAGGTACTTTGTAAAGCCTTCAGTTCTGCTCTCATGCTGCATTTACTATCAGCAATACGAACATCATGTCATAAACAGGCACAAAGCCATTAAGCAACAGCAATAAAACGCTTCGATGTATAGGGCCTTTCGCACATAGAGGTTAAATCTCTGTATGCTTTTTGCTTGACTGGCAGTAGATCACATGAGCGTTTTCTTCACTCATTGGTCGATGCTTAGTGTTTGTACAAACTTGAACTTTACTAACTCGCTGCCAGTGTGAACGACCCTTATTCGTTTTGACCAACTCTTCTGATTTACTTCATTGTAGAAGGCCGCCTTAATCAAAAACCTCCATTAAAATGTTTTAAATTAGACACAGAGCCTTGCTCTGAATCACAGATGATTTTCAATGAGGCATTGCATTCAACTTTAAGCTGTAGCCGATTATCATACATATGCTGAACTCATGAGTTTCCAGTAACATGGAGATTTGCAGATTTTGCAGCCTGCTCATAGTTATTATCAGCTATGAAACACCTCTGATGCCCTTCAAGCTCTTGCTAAAGGCCTTTTGTTAGAAAGGAGAATAATATCACAGCATCGGCATTCACATGATGATAGATTTAGAGGCCATGCTCTAATATGTCATTTTAATTTGAACTGATCTGAAGGATAATACAATAAGAAACTCAAAATGAGTGGGGAAACTTTTATCAGGTACTGCAAAGATAAGAAAGGATGAGGAGGGCTTGTGATGAGTAATTTCTACTCTAAACTAAAGGAGAATGATCCGTGAGCTGTTCTGTTCACTAACTAAAGGAATCCTCCTACAAGAAACCACACATATCTTTCTGGCCAGCAAGCAACAAAGAGACTAATTTAAATTTCAAATTTAAAAACCTTTATTTTTTTAGCATGCAAAATAAACTCTGCCCTGAAGAAAGACCATTTATTTGTCCATGCGATGCATGACACATCCACAAAAGTTTTGTTTTGCACTGGATACCTGATAAATTCATGAGTAAAAATTTTGCTTTTGGCAACCCACTTAAAAGGTTTTCCCTACCTCTTTAGAGAAAGGTTCATTTGAATATAATGAATAATACATGAGTATAAAGCTATAAAAGCACAATGAAAGACGGTCCAAATATCTGTGAAGTTTCATGTACCAAATAGCATAATTGGGATAGTTTATCAGGCACAAAGATGCTTTCATTACGAGCAAAGATATGAAGCTTTTCCACAGATAATGCTTCTCAGTCCAAAACATTGTTGACAAATGAGTGAATCTCACAAAGAAATATATATATAATATATAATATTGAACTGTACCATTATTGTATGCATTATTATATATTTAATTAATTATATATATATATATATTCCCCCCACATATATTTTCCACATTAAATGTACTTTGTCATTAAGATAGTCACAATGCAAAAAGTAAGGAAAAACAGCCTTTTGGTTTATGCAAAATATTAATTTTTTTTCTTTTTGATAAGGTGAAATATAAATTCATTTACACAAGAGAAAATTCCTGACAGCCTTTGTGAGATTCACTCAAAGACTAAATAGTCTGTATCTTTTGACAAACATATGCTGCATAAAATCATATTATCCAGACAGTTAAGTGAAGTCCAGCACATTGGCACAACACATCAAGCATATTTCTTTTCAGTCTTGCACATTTGGAAACAGTACTCAGAAACAGAGCAGGGGACCGTTCAGCACAACGGCCCCAGCTTCATCTGTATCTTATCACCGTAAAGTCCCTTAAACAGAAAAAGCTGGGGAACATATGAGGAACTGAGCCAGACTGAGTCTTCAAAGAGCGAACAGGCTTGACGGAGGAGGGGTCTCGCTCAGCGGCCCTCGTAAGGGCTGGTTCTCATCATTCTGACAATAAAAATAAGTGGAATAAAAACAAAGCAAAACGTCTCTTTTGAGTGAAAAAAAAAAAGCAGCCGGAGATTTCTGCAAACTGGGTCTCTTTCTTCAAAAGATCCTCCTTCTAGAGCTTAGAGGAGGTTATCCTCCTGCTGGAATGCTTTTGGAGAGAAAATCCGGCACATTCTTCGCAGACTCCCTGTGGATAGAGGGACAGAAAGGACCACAGAAAGCTGCTAATACGGTTGCTCGGGGTCCGACGCAAAAACTGCATTCACTTCCATAAAAACAGGGTTGCATGAGCATGCAATAAAACAGTTCTCAAAACTTCACAACCGCATATTACACATGTATATATATAATGGTTATCCTCTTAATAGCTGGTCAGCCTCTTAAATTCAATGAACAAGGCACTTGAGCACCAGAGAGGTGGGCAATATTCCAGTATGGGACAATGGAGAGTAGTGGGGGGTTTGTTGGTGGTGGTCAGAGTTACTTTATGGCTTCTGCCCCTTTATTGGGCTAATCCTCAAACATCCAATGATGACTGAGAAGCAAATGCATCTCGGGGCCAATTCTGTGCAGAATTGAAGGGGAGGTGTGCTTGTTATAAAGGCAACAGGCTTGATGGAGGAGGGGTCTCGCTCAGCGGCCCTCGTAAGGGCTGGTTCTCATCATTCTGACAATAAAAATAAGTGGAATAAAAACAAAGCAAAACGTCTCTTTTGAGTGAAAAAAAAAAAGCAGCCGGAGATTTCTGCAAACTGGGTCTCTTTCTTCAAAAGATCCTCCTTCTAGAGCTTAGAGGAGGTTATCCTCCTGCTGGAATGCTTTTGGAGAGAAAATCCGGCACATTCTTCGCAGACTCCCTGTGGATAGAGGGACAGAAAGGACCACAGAAAGCTGCTAATACGGTTGCTCGGGGTCCGACGCAAAAACTGCATTCACTTCCATAAAAACAGGGTTGCATGAGCATGCAATAAAACAGTTCTCAAAACTTCACAACCGCATATTACACATGTATATATATAATGGTTATCCTCTTAATAGCTGGTCAGCCTCTTAAATTCAATGAACAAGGCACTTGAGCACCAGAGAGGTGGGCAATATTCCAGTACGGGACAATGGAGACTAGTGGGGGGTTTGTTGGTGGTGGTCAGAGTTACTTTATGGCTTCTGCCCCTTTATTGGGCTAATCCTCAAACATCCCATGATGATTGAGAAGCAAATGCATCTCGGGGCCAATTCTGTGCAGAATTGAGGGGGAGGTGTGCTTGTTATAAAGGCTTCAATGAGACAGGCAGTACATGCTTTTCACAAGAAATGTGCCTACTTAAATATATCTAAATGTTCGCCACCAGTTGGGGAAAGTTACTTTTAAAAGTAATGCATTACAGTATCGCATTACTCCATAAAAAGTAACTAAAAGTAACTGAAAGTAATGCATTATGCATCATCTGGGCTGGGCGTGCTTATTTGTTTTTTTTTTATAACAAAAAACCCAAAAGTTACATTTTGGCAAATGTAAGGGCCCTTTCACACCAAAAGTGACATTAATAAGCCTCAGGCTGAAGAAAGTGCCTTTGCACTGACTCCCGATTTCTCTTAACATTGGGACAGGAGAACTGTCAGTGAACACATGGGAAAACAAAATAACTTGCATTACTTATTTGAAAAAGTAACTCAGATATTTCATTGTAAATGTAAAAGTAACGCATTACTTTACTAGTTACTTGAAAAAGTAATCTGATTACTTTTTCAAGTAACTAGTAAAGTAATGCGTTACTTTACTAGTTACTTGAAAAAAGTAATCTGATTACGTAACTCGCGTTACCCCCAACACTGTTCGCCAGACACAAACGGACGTGTTCCAAGTATAAATGCAATAGAAAACTAGTTAATATAAGGAGCTCAGTTTGGGAAGAGCTCACACATCTGCTGTTGTAGAGACTTGCGACAGTCTGGGATCGGAGTCGATCTCGTATCGGTAGTGGTACCCTTCCCAGACTTCCCGGCATGCGTCGCGCATGTCGTAGATGCGCTTCTTAATACCTTTGCGGTTCAGGTAAAGCACAAAGAGAAACATGAGCCCGACAAATCCCAGCACGAGACCCAGGAACACGTAGGAGGTCTGCAGTGCGAGATTGTCACTTTCTCCCGCCTTATGGCAACCCAACTCCAGTTCGCCCACCGTCAGTAGCGACGTGTTCTGCAAGGCGACTGGGAACACGCAAGTCAGGCGCTCGACGTCCACCACTCGCGCCCGTGAGTCGTTCACCCAGGCGGCGAAAGGCTCGATGTCGCATGTGCAGGTGTAAGGATTCTCCGCCAGGTGGAGCCTCACCAAACGCATCTGCTCCAGCTCTATTAGAGCCTCTTCACGCAGGGTCCTGAGGGCATTGTGGGTGAGGTCGAGTTCCTGGAGGTGATCCAGTCCTGTGAACGTCCCGTTATGGATGGACACTATAGAGTTGTTGCCAAGCTGAAGGCGCCGCAGGCCGACAAGATGGCAAAAGATACCTGGGGGCAAGTAGACAAGGCCGTTACTGGACAGGTCCAGTCCCAGCAGGTCTTCCAGGCTGCTCCAGCGAAGAGAGGTGACTAAAAAAATGACGGACGAGTGGTTGTAAAGAGCCCGACTGAGGTTGAGCTCCCTCAGCATACGGCTCTGGACGGTGAACGCCTCAGGATGGATGACTGCCAGCTGGTTGTTGCTGAGGTCCAGCGATCTGAGGCTCCGCAGGCTAGAAAATGTGCGAGACTTCACCTCAGAGACCCTGGAGAGGAGAAAAGGAACATTTGACACTACAATCCTAAAAATAAAGGTGGGTTTTGCCATAGAAGAACAGTTTTTGGTTCCACAAAGAACCTTTCAGTGATCGATTCTTAAAAGAACCGTTTTCTACTGTGAAGAACCTATATCCAAAAGAACCTTTTATCCACAATAAAGGACCTTTTACACAAGTTTTTGCATAAAGGTTATTAATGGAACTATAGATGCCAGAGTAAGCGTAGTTGCAAGGTCAGAACTACACCAGATATTGAGGGGTGTCGATTTATTTGGTTGTTTTATATCATGTCAGCATCTTAGACCAGTTTCATGGCAAGAAAGGGGCAAAATGAGATAAATGTTTTCCTGCTGAGGGAATGTTTTGAATAAAACGGAAGGAAAATATTCAACCAAAATTATGACTGATTCGATTTTCAAATCTGGTGCTGTTTATATAGTTCTGCTTTATTTTTAATTGAGCCACATGCTATACATTGTTTCATAATGAATGAGCTAGTAAAATGAAGTAGAATCCTACAAGTCAAGGATGTGAGAATAAACCTGTACACATTTAACACCTTAAAGCTTCTAGCTTTCCCTTTTGAAAAATCAAAACACTATCGTTGCTACACTAAATATTTACAGCAATTTTAGCCTCTACAGTCATATAGAGGCCTCTATAACCAAATGACGTAATTTAATTACAAAATAAACAGTTACAGTTACTGAGAAAAAAATGTGTAATTCAATTACTTTAGACACGTTTAGACACGTGCTTGTTCAATAACTGTTTTATTTCCTATATTTGTGTTTATGTATATGCTTTATTATATATTTTTTTCCCAAGCAATTGTTAGATGCCAGTGTTTCCTGTCATAACTATACAAGATTTGATTTCAAAACCAGTGTCATAGCTATTAAACTATTTCTCGTTTTGGTTTTAAATCTGTATTTAACCTCAGAATGATCTCAAAGTCAGTCAGATTTTGTAGTGGCTGTGCTTTAAAATTAAATGACTATAATCTTAATTCAAATGATTTTGACAGTCTGACAGTAATCAGCGTTGAATAGTACTGTACGGTTAAACTTTGACTTTACATGTTAGAAAAAAGATTAATAGTTGGAAAAAATCGAAATTTAGAGAAGTAATCCAAAATGTAATCAGTTACATTACTTTAATAAAGTAATTGAAATACTTACACTACTACATTTTAGATAGAGTAACTTGTAATCTGTAACCTATTACATTTTCAAAGTAACCTTCCCAACACTGGTTACAGTGTAATTACACATTTAAGTACTGAGTAATATTTATTAACTGCATGTACTTGCATATATGATTAGGGTTAGGATTGAGGTTTGGTTTAGTGTTACTTGCATGTAATTATGCATACTTTATTGTTATAAATGTAGTGTAACAAGGACACCTTAAAATAAAGTGTTACCTAACTTTATTCTAACAGTTGTTACATAGTGTTACATAGTAACATGTACAAGTTGTTAACAGTATTTTAAGAGTCAAATGAACTACTAGCTTCTTCGAATATGCATCATTGCGTTACCTGTTGTTAGACAGTGACAAATTGGTCACGTTCTCCAGTCCCTGGAAAGACTCGGGTCCGATCTGGCTGATGTGGTTTCCGGTGATGAAGAGGTTTCTGGTGTAGCTCGGGATGCCGCTCGGTACGTCCCGCAGATCTTTGGAGACGCATTTGACCGTGAGCGCGGCTTCTGAACACTCGCAGCCGGCGGGACACAGCGACGCGCCGGCGGAGAGCGCAGCGCACAGCAGCCCCAGCACAACTGCGCACCGCGCAGAGGCGAGCATGGTCAACTATCAGCAAAACCGCATCAATCTGACTCAATAAATGCCCTCGTTCAGCGGCTGTGCGTCCGCTTCTCCAGAGTGGCTCTCCAAGACTCCTCGCCCGTAACCTCTCTCAGTGATGTTGAGTCTCCCTGCGTGCTCGACTTCTTTACATTACAGAAACTCATGTGTGAATGAGAGGCAGACACTTTATTTCCATGAGAAAATGAGGTGCTCTGTGTGGGGCGTTTGATCCGCTGCTCTCAAACAATGCGACTGAATCACACTCAACAATCAGCAGGGAGGAGCTTTGACTCGCACCTCTCCCCTCCACTTCACCGTACAGACCGATATCAACCCACATCTCGCGCTCATCACTCTGATTAATGGGCTTAATTAATAGTGATTAAAGCTCATCAAAAGATTACGATCTCTCACTTTAGTTGATCTTTACTACTCCAGTATTGTAGCTCAAGGTGTCTAAGCACTTAAAAATGGTTGTTCTACTGTTGCTTTTATGTGGTTCTTTGGAGGTCGATAAAGCTCTTGATGTTACACTAGAGCAGTGGCTCTTAGTTAGGGGGTGGGGCCCACTAGGGGGCCTCAGTAAACATTCAGAGGGCAGCAGTAAAAAAAAAAAAAAACACATACACTGTAAAAAAAATTCCGGTAAAAAACCGGCAGCTGTGGTTGCCGGAATTTTACCGTAAAAAATACGGTAGCAACGTTTTAGGTTTTACGGTTTTAACTTAAATTTACAGTTAAATACCGTAATTTTATTAACTGATATAATGTTAATATACCAACCTATTGAAGTACTGAAATCTGTTTTGTACCTTTGTAATACACTGTTAACCACCAAATGCAGGTGGTGATGAGAAAGTCACATGATGAACCAAAGCCCATCACAAGCAGCTTTTAGATAATAACATATATAGAAGGTGCACAGTGTCATTCACACAAACACCAAACACCATCATGGTAACATACATGAAACTGAAATAATGAGATAGATATTTCAATAAAATGCACGCACAGTTTTAATTAAATGCCATTTCATTTTGATTATTTGTGAAATGAATGTTTCTGAGTGAATTTTTTTCTACAACCATGACAAACAAAATGTAACTTTTTTTTTTTTGTACATGTATCTCCTCAACAAGCATAGTCGGACATGTAATTTCACTGCGTTAAAAAACGGCTAGTTGAGAAAGGAGTTTAACTTAAGGATATAAAAATTATAAAATTATAAAAATTGCAACTTTTGCACGACCAAGAAAAAACTCCACTTTAATCTAATAATAATAACAATAATATTATAACTATTTATTATTTGAATTATTAATATATATGATAGCCTTTGCTTCTATTAAAATAGAGGAAGATGTAAAATCATATCTTATAGGGGCCTTTAAATATTGACTGAGCTCCAAAGGCTGAAATCACTGCACCATAGAATATATTCTTCAGACCAGTGTTATTGGCTTCTGAGTTCTTAATAGGTTTTCTGAAGCGGAATCTAGATCTTTGTTTATGTCTGGATAATCAGTGTTTTTGTATGTTGGGAACAATGATCTGATATCCCTCACTCCACAGGACTCCTGATGCTTTGAAGTCGGCGGGGGTCTGCTGAACTGAAGGGGGACAATAAGCTATGAATTCAACAGACCGCTCTTTTGCCTGCCGACTCAGTCATTTGTTCTCTAACGCGATTAAACTTTTCCAGGGCAACCGTTCAAAGAAATGCACAAAAAAACAACATTCGAAACATCATAAAATACATGCATTTTAAGTCCAAACAATTTTGTCCAATTGTGACATAAATAAAACCCATAGTATACTGTAATAGTAAACATCTTTTATTGATATCAATAATGCATGAACATTATAATGCATGTAAATTAATTAGGAAGATGATTATATGTGTCCATTGGTTTCTGATGACAGGATATGGGCTTTTCCCATCAAGAGTTCTTGCTGTGGACGCAAGCTATGAGGAAATACATCGTGCAAACTCAATAGCTCAATTTTAAAATCACCATTACTGGCTTCTTGGGAGAAAAGAAAGGAAAAGACAATGAAAGACCAATACCGATTTCTAAAATGAAATCAGATAAAACACACAGTCATCTTTATTCACATTCCTATATTACAGCTTAGTGTAGAAGCGTATTGCCTTATGAATATAAAACTACATGGTCACTCATTTGGAGTAAAAAAGGCCTTAAGTGTTTTCACCCTGTTTCTAGTTGTCCATGTGCTCTACTGAATGCTTGACATTATTAGAGTAAAATCAACAACAAAAAGCATTCTGCTACTCATATTTATCTAACACTCAGCAGCCATTGTAAACAACGCATCTAGTCAAGCAGACATTACCACACGCACAGAATACAAAATATATCATTACAAAGACTTTAAGAACCTCATATTAAAATATGCATTTGATTATTAGCAGTAAAACCCAGAACAAACAACTTTTGAATGCCAACCATCAGTATCAGACTTTGTGAGTATCAGACATGCGCACAGGCTTACAGAGCACAACATGCGCACAGAGACAGCCACAGACAGACAGCCACAGACAGACAGAGACAGACAGACAGACAGACAGACAGACAGACAGACACACACACACACACACACACACAGCTGCAGGAGGTATGAGGTGACAATTTCATTTTTATTAACAGTTTGTTTGTTTGTAGTTGTGCAAAGTTCATGTAATGACAAGCTTAACAGCAGTGCATGTAAAGAAAACATTTGCAGCTCATTTTTACACCCAGGCAAGTTCTGAATTAGCAAGCAGGCAGAAACCGAAATACATCTGCTAATAAAACTGTTCTAATGGCAAAAAGCAATCAATCAATTAAGTGTCACTTTCCATAGGGTAGCCGATGGGATTTTTAAAAGCACAAATTCAATTTTGTACTGAAAAGTATTATCTAACAGAAATAACATTACATGAAAAAACTTTACTTTTTTATGTTCATTAAGTTAAAAACTATTTAAAATATTTGTGATGTCTTACATTTCAGACACAACCCTGTTATCACGATTTCTCCATTCCAAGAAGTGAGATGTTACTTTCAACTGACCAAACGTAATTTAGAAAACCAGTCAATTCACTTCATGTCCTCAGTTTTTACAAATAATTTAGTGTTGACTACTTTCATCAAACTTCAACTCTGTTAGTTAAGAATTTGTTTTATATTTTTATGAGAAATACTCATAAAAAAAAAAAAAAAGAAAACCGTTAACATGGTGGCAAAAATTAAATAAAATTAATTTTAAAACATAAAAAAACAAAATAACTTAATTCCAGTTCCTTAATATTTACTAAGAATTTAGTGCTGACTACATTTTTCAAACTCAATTTGCAACCCTGTTAGTTATAGTTTTATTTCCAGGATTTTATAAGAAATACTCAAAATATTGAAAACTACAATAAAAAAAAATTACTACAATGAAACTATATTCATTTTCTATGTCATGAATTGGCTAGCCAAATTTGCAAGCCTGTTACAAATCATAATCTTTTAATTTCACTTCATTTAAAATGCTATTAATTAGCAAACGAACAACAATTATTAGCAATTAACTATTAGCAGGCAAACAAATGTTTTTTTTATTTTAAATCATCACACAAATTAAAGCTTGTAAACATGTAGACCTGGACTAAAATGTGGTAACAAAACAAAACAAAACACAAAACAAAAACAAAAACAAAACAAAACAAAACAAAAATATTTTAATTTCACTTCATTTCATTTAAATTGCTATTAATTAGCAAACGAACAACAATTATTAGCAATTAACTATTAGCAGGCAAACAAATGTTTTTTTTTTTTTTTTAAATCATCACACAAATTAAAGCTTGTAAACATGTAGACCTGGACTAAAATGTGGTAACAAAACAAAACAAAACAAACAAATAAACGTTTACTAATTTTTTCAGGTCTTATTTTGCACACTATTTTTGGAAGGTGGCATGTGAATGTTAACATTTAACATATTGTAACCACAGAAAGACCTCAGTGAATGAATGAATGTTCTCTAAAAGTAAAAAGCAGTGGAATGCCATGAGCTTTTAGAGATTACAGAGAGGAAATGGGAACCGCTGGGCTGCTGTGACGACCTAAACAGTGAAATGTGCTTCTGATCCACTAGTTCACATCTTTGAAGACAGGAACGCTGTCAGTAAGAACATCACACTTCACACAGGCTCTCTAATGTGATCAGCTCTAGCCGGGGCCAGCAGGGGCCAGACTCCTCTCTCACACACACACACACACACACACACACACACACACACACACACACACACTCCACCGACACAAAACACACTCGACTACCTGCTGCTCTTGGCAATACTTCCAAAGACAGAGAGAGTGTGAAAAGAGGAATGAAAAGGAAGAATGTGAGAAGAGAGCAATAGGTAAGAGGGGAGTTGAGTGATTGTTCTCTTTGACATGAAACAAAGAGGGGATTTGATCACACAGGAGTCATGGAAACGGGTTTGGTGTCCAGATCATAGTCTAGGATCACGGCAGGATTCGATCGGTGTTTGAAGCGCTCGGTTCATGAATACAGTTGAGAAAAGCAAACAGGATTTCTGTGCTCTGGATTACAGTAATGAAGGTTAGATTTCACCCAGTTTTTCTTTCTGCTTATACACCAAACGAGTGAAACCCTTACACCCAAAATCAGTAGCAAACTAAAATATATTCGGTTTAAAAATGAAATAAAATACAGCTTGTGATTAGGATCATTAAGATTTTCATGAGAACGAAAACATTAATTTTACTTTCATTAGTTAGAAGTTTTACTTTTATTACAATAAAAATACGGTAATGTTTTTGAGAGCCCATTTTGACCCCAGGTTCAATTTTCTTTCTAATTCTACACTAATTAAGCAATTGAGATGTACAAGTGAATCTCACAAAAACGGGCCACATTTACAACCCAAATCAGAAGCAAATAAAAATATATTTTGCATTAAAAACTTCCATGACAATTAAATTTTTCTTACTTTAATACAGCTTTAACTGTTGTTACCATAAAAATACTGCATTAAAAATAATAAAGCAGTGCTACAAATACTACAGTGATGTATAAATACGATTAATGTAATCATATATTAATATAATTAATAACTTCATACAGTAGGAAATGTGCTTAATTGCCATGAAATAATATCACATGCAAAAGATAATAAAACAGGCTTCATTTTCTTTAACCAAAACAATTCTGCCATTTTTCTTTTTGATTTTGGGGTGAAATAATGACCTGGATGTGTGCTTGACAGATTTCAGCGTTCCTGCTTCATTTTGATGAGCATTATTCAAACCCTGGACCTTATAATGGAACATAAATCATGTTATCACTTATATGTGATATGATTGTTAGACTAGGCATATTGTGCCATTATACCAAGTCAATAGTCAACATAACAAACAATGGAAGCATTAAATATATAATTTAATAGTTCATGATTGAAAGAGTAGAGCTTTCAAACAGAACATCCAAAACCCCTGCAATGTGAATCAAGTGTTCCTCAGGACAACAAAGATATATTAAAGGCATCATTTACTTTCTTCATTCCTGGTCTTGCTGAGCAGGATTTATTAGTGCATGTTAGAAAACTAAAAAGGTCTTCTAAACTGAAACAACTGTCCTTTTCGGCTAAATTCACCAAGGTCACTTAAATTTCAAGCCTTCGCATTCATGTCTGGTCTGTTCTGCGAAGGAATGCATGCTTTTTTCTGATTCAATCAATTCCCAATGGATAAAAATAAGTCCTAGCATACATTTTACACTTTTAAATGCATCACATTCAACTTGAGAATGCAATTTCATAATGGTTTATGCAACATAACAATAGTAAATGAATGCAATAACAATAAATTATGCAATATAATAACAGCTGGCCAGGCAGTGCAAAGAATGCTTTTCAATACATAATGCAAACCAGATTTGCTTATTCATTAACTAGTAATTTTTGAATGCTAATCTCCATATGCAATTAGATTTTTGTATAAAAACAATTACACTTTAAAGCATGCCAAGCTACATTTATGTCGACGGTTAGCCTTGCCAATAAAACGACTAAAAGGGTACTCCTAAATGAAATGAAATATTCAAAGTGTTCATTTAAATAAGCTTTCGTATTCATAGTAAGAATTTTAAAAGGAAATCCATCTTCCAGAGTATCTTAATATACAATGCATTGGTTCTCAGAAAGAACATAGCATCTTTAGAAATTCATATTCAAGTTATATTTAAAATATAAGACTATATATACACGTTATAGTGTTATATTTCCTAAACAGCAGTTATAGTTTGGAGATCAAAGTCTAACCAAACGATAAAAGAGCACCATAACCCTCAAGAGACACCAAAGTCATGCCTTTGGAAGACAGGTTTTGAGAATAGCGTTTCGTACATCACCACAAGACGTTGAAGCCATGGTGTATTTGCTGTCTCTACCCTACGACAAAGAGGTCTAGCGTTTGATGTTTGATGTTGAGCTCCGAAGAGCTGGACTTCAAGTTGACATTCAGTGGAGTCCCGCCGGAGCTGGAGTGACGGGTCTCTGATGGGCGGCGAGCTCGTTGGCCTGAGTGTGACCCCGCTGGGTCATCGCAGGTTTAGAGACAGAGTCACAGCCAGGATCACACTGGTCAAGATGCAGAAAGGAAGCCAGGTCTTCAGGAAGCCTACGCAACTGTGGAAAGAGAGAGAGAAAAAAACGTCCGTGTGAGAGAAAGACACAGTTTCGGTGAAGATGAAAACATAAAAGAAACTAGATTCTGATATGTGCTTGTCTGTGCTATGTTGTGTGTGAAATGGTTTGTAGGTTTGCCAAGGCACTGTCATGCTGTTTTTAAGGTGTTGTAGCTCCAAGTAAAAAAATAGGGATGCAACGATACCATTTTTTTCAGAACCGATCCGATCCAGAAAATTCTGAGTATCGGCCGATACCGATCCAATCCGATACCAGTGCAGTTTTTTTACATCAATGTAGAATTTCTATACTTCTGTTTGTTGACCTGATCGTCACACAGTTGAATATTAAATCTTTTTCTTTTAACAGTTCTCAGTTATTGTGCGCTCATGGAGAGAGTTTCATCATTTTTGACTGTCGAAACCGAATGTGACAGTTTGAACGCTGAATAGAGGATGACTGACAGCCGCAGCGGAGAGAAGAGTTTACGTGAACTTGACTTAAAGGGGTCATATGATGTTGCTAAAAAGAACATTATTTTGTGTATAATCTTCGCATCATATGACCCCTTTAAATGTATTAAATGCAATCAGCTGAGCTTTAGAGTGATTTCTTTGACTCACTTAAGAAATAGTTAAAGTGCACTGCTGAATGTACTGACAAGCATTTATAGTAAACTAAAATATACTTTAATGTAATTTCTATTGAAACTCATATGCCATGTATTTAAATATATTTGTAATTACACATTTGTAGTAAAGTTGCAATTTAGTACATTTAAATTAAGAAATTTAAATGAATGACGCACTAGAGCAGGGGTGGCGAACGTCGGTCCTGGAGAGCCGCAGCCCTGCAGAGTTTTGCTTCAACCCTAATCAAACACACCTGAACAAGCTAATCAAGGCCTGAAGGGTTACTAGGAAGCTTCAGGCAGGTGAGTTTTTATTAGGGTTAGAGCTGAACTCTGCAGGACTGCGGCTCTCCAGGACCGGAGTTCACCACCCCTGCACTAGAGGTAAAATTATAATCAAGTACTTGACATGTGTTTTAGTATGTTAGTCAACACATCAAAATAAGTGTACTTTAAAGCATGACAAAGAGATTATTAAAACAATGATTAAAATGTACTTTAAAGTAAAACTTTGAATTTGACATTATTACAAAGTTCACCTTTCAAGTCTACTTAAGTGTGTTAAGAAACAGTCACGAAAGAGAACTCTCTTTAAATATATACTTAAGTGGGATTTATTTCATTAATACTACATTTTCTGCAAGTGCCGTTTTAAAAAAATATAGTTTTAAGATTTGAAGTACACTACAAGTGCACATTCAATGCAGTCGTTTTCACAAAGGTGGTGCTTACCTAAGCAAAGACCATTAATCACAGATAGAAAGCAAATAAAAGATGAAAAAGACAAATTATTATTGTGATATCACATTACTTTTCCCTCAACAGCACACAGACGGTGTTTGTTTTCTTTGCAACATCAGATTAGAATATGCTGTGGACCAGATTTCATACTGATAGTCAAAATGCTTGCTCTGTGTGACGTCCAATTACTCTCCAGTCCATACTGATGCAACCACAACAATCTGCTTCCACAAGCTGGAGGACAAAAGAGCTGCATCATCACTTCATACCTGCAGTTCCTTTTTTTAGTGACTGACAGCAGAGTTCTCACAATAAACAGTGATGGATGCACCCTGAACACTTTGGGCCAGGAGAAACACACGCATAATGCAACACTTTCAATTACACCTGAGAGACGCCATGACAGCCTATCCTTGTGTGAGTCCCTCTCAGTCTCCTGGGGCCAATGCACATGCATTGTGCTCAGACAGCAACCAGAAGTCTGAAAAAAAGTTGTGTCTGGAGCAATCCCTTGTTAGACTTCAGGGTATCATGTAGGAGCATTTTTAGCTGACACCCAAAACACAGCACTGGGTCCAATTTCTCAGTCCTATAATTATGCAATCCTGCAGCAGAGAGGATTTAAAACCAAATTTAGCATATAAAACGGCTGCAAACAAACAAACAAAGTCCCAAAATCTCTTCTACTAATGGTTACTACCTTTGTTAAGTACAATTTATTCATAATTTTTAAAAGAATAATATTGCCCAAAACTGCACTTACTTCAATCTAGAATAAAATGCCATCTGATAGACCAAGACACTAAAGTCTTGCATATCTGTTTACACGGTCAAGCAGATCCAGAGGTCTGATTATTATAGCATTACAAGCTTCCCTGTAATCCACAGAATGAAAATGTTCATAATATCGGTTCACATTTGTTGCCTTTTCAACTCAAGGTTCCCATGAGATGCACCTCATCACCTCTTTTAAAACATACTACATCTAAACTTAGAGCTGACACGATAAAATACACTGTCTGTAGATTCAGAGATCAGTCTTTTTCGAGAAGCATTGCCAGAAATCATTTACTTCAGCTGTGCTTCACTTGACAGAGTGGCATGAATGGATTTCAAAAATACACTGTTAAAACGAATATCTTCACTCAGATTCAAATAAACCATTTAAAAAAAAAGATTTAGATTTATTTGAGTGGCTGCATATTTTTTTTCTGGAATATACACGATAATAATATTAACTGGAATAATTCTAAAAAAAACAATCAGGCCTCATATCTATCTAAATGTGGCCATTCAGCACAAAGTTTTGAAGTTATATCCAGTCTACGCGGGATGTCCTGCACTGTTTAAATTGCATCAAATGCAAAACTAATTCGGATGGATTACAAAGAAACAAAGCTAATTCGGACGAATTTGTACGATCTCATTAGGTTTTCATACAAATCTGCTAAAACCCCAGTGTCAAAATATCTTTTTATGTTATGTTTAGGGATGGACCTTAATGCTTACTTTTTTCTATCATACAAATTCATATGAAATCACCTCGTAAAATATTTCTGTTTTCCTGTGAGATCGGGTTGATAGAGGCCGTTATGGTCAGTGATATTTATCCTCTATTGTGGATGGATCATGGCAGTAAACTAGTTGCAACAATAAACAGATTCCCACGTTCTATTTCTGTCATACTCTACACGCTACTTCTGACAACAGGACGAATGGATTTGGAAAGTTCGCTTTGACACGTCCAGTGTAGAAGGCCTTTAGCTGTTGCAACACGGTCTGATGTGATGCGACAACGGTCCGTTGCAGATGCAGAGCAAGTTTATTAGTGATATTAAGCGTACATAAATCTGTTCAAATGATAAGATAAATAGTGCTCAACAAAAGTGCATTTATTTGATAACAATTACAGTAAAAACAGTGGTAACGCTTTAGTATAGGGACCAATTCTCACTATTAATTAGTTGTTTATTAGCATGCATATTATTAACATATTGTCTGTTTCGTTAATATTTATAAAGCACATATTCTGCATGACCATATTCTACCCAATACCTAAACTTAACAACTACCTTACTAATTATTATTAAACAGCAAATTAGGAGTTTATTGAGGCAAAAGTCATAGTTAAAGGGATAGTTCACCCAAAAAACACAAACAGAACACAAATTAATATATTTTTGATTAAATCTGAGAGCTCTCTGACCCTCCCATAGACAGCAAGGATCCTTACACGATCAAGGCACAGAAACGTAGCAAAGAAAACAAAAATAACGACTTTATTCATCAATTCGTCTCCTCCGCGTCACAGTAGCGCCATTTTGGAGAGTATCCACTGAATGCAAACAGCGTATAGGTGTTCGGTGTCAGCTGCGCCATGCGGATGTTTTCTACGTTTGATTTGAATGAAAACAACGCATCCACGTGGCGCAGCTGACACCGAACACCTATACTCTGTTTGCGTTCAGTGGATACTCTCCAAAATGGCGCTACTGTGATGCGGAGGAGACGAATTGATGAATAAAGTCGTTATTTTTGTTTTCTTTGCGTACAAAAAGTATTCTCGTAGCTTTATAACATTACGGTTGAACCCCTGATGTCACATGGATTATTTTAATGAAGTCCTTGCTACGTTTCTGTGCCTTGATCGTGTTACTTACATTGCTGTCTATGGGAGGGCCAGAGAGCTCTCAGATTTCATCAAAAATATCTTAATTTGTGTTCTGAAGATGAACGAAGCTCTTACAGGTTTGGAACGACATGAGGGTGAGTAATTAATGACAGAATTTACATTTTTGGGTGAACTGTCCCTTTAATGGTTTGTTAATAGTGAGAATTGGACCTTAAAATAAAGTGTGACCAAAACAGTAATATTGTGGAGTTTCAATTTAAAACTGCTGTTTTCTATGTGAATATATTGTAAAATGTAATTTATTCCTGTGATGCAAAGCTGAATTTTCTGCATCATTACTCCAGTCTTCAGTGTCACACGATCCTTCAGAAATCATAATAATATGCTGATTTGCTGCTCAAGAAACTTCTATCATTATCAATGTTGAAAACAGTTGTGCTGCTTCATATTTTTGTGGTAACCGTGAAACTTTTTCAGGTCTTTCTATCGAATAGAAAGTTCAAAATAACAGCATATATTTGAAATAGTAACAGTACTGTCACTTTTGATCAATTTAATGCATTCCTGCTGAATAAAAGTATTAGTTTATTTAAAAAAAAAAATTCTTACTAACACCAAACTTTTGAATGGTAATGCACTTATCATAAGTATACGTGAGTGCAGTTAAATTACTTTGGATTATGTGCAGCTCGGCAAACTACAGTGTAAATGCTAAAGTGTCCTGATGCGAACAACAACATGTTGAGTTATCATCATTCTGAACCCTGCCTTTGACCCCGGGTAGAGAAATGTTTCACTATTGCAATTTAAAAGTGGGGTTAGCACCACTTTTCCCTGCGGGTTTTGAAAGCCTGTTCCTGTGTCAAAGTGTACAGTGTGAAACAATGATTTTTAGCAACAGACATCCAGTAACGTGCCTCATATTCACCTGCTTTGGACAGTCACAGAAGGAAAAACTCGATAGTACAGTCTGCAATACATTATATGTCGACGTGCATTTATAAGCCTTTATGTAAATGACTTACACGCTGCATTCATCCAATCATTGACACTGACACTGCAAATATGCAAATAAGGATTTTAGGAATGCAAGTTTAGGATTGTACGGTGTGAATACACAGGATTAGTTGTTAACCACAGGCAACTTTATGAACAGTGTGAAAGTTAAGCAAGACAACCCAGAGTTTAATATGATCCAGAGTTAACTATTGCAAGTGTGAAAAGCCCTCCAGCGAACAAATTACACCAAAAAAAGATTTTCAAACTTAGAAATCTGATCAAAGCACAAACACATGCAGAGGGCCGTTTACACGACAACGTTTTCAGCCAAAAACGGGAAACTTTTAATGCGTTTTGACTGTTCGTTTACACGACAACGGCGTTTTTGAAGTTTTTGAAAACACCGCCGTTATCGTTTCCGTGTAAACACCCCAAACGGGAATCTTTGAAAACAGTGACGTCATGCGTGTGCGTAGTACGTGTTAGGTATGTAGACGTGCGCAGTACGTGTCGATTTTAAAGGCAAGCGTGAACAAACATACACAACAATGGCGGAGTACATGGTACTGTTGTTGCTGCTCAAGAGTCTGCTAATGCTTCTTCAGCAAAGTGAGGATTTACTTCACCAATATTACAATCATCATATAATCGTCACTTCCCGACAGGTTCTGTTTACTAACAAGGTGACAGCGCCAACTACTGGCCTGGCATACGTAATACAGCGTTTTTGGCCGTTTTCGTGGATATGTGTAAACGCGAATCGTTTTGAAAACGTTGTCGTGTATACGTGAAACTTTTTAAAAACGCAAGGGAAAAACTTTTCCGTTTTTGACTACACCGTTGTCGTGTAAACGTAGCCTTAGTCTCACCTGACGTGTTTGCCATGAACGAGCGAGAGCAGGCAGAGGTTCACCATATTCCACGAGGTGCTGTTGTCATAGCACATCAGGTTCAGTGCCATGGCAACATGCGAGTGACAGTTGTCACAACAAAGGTTGTGCTGGAGGAAAAATGGAGATAATTTGTCAGAAGATATAAGGCAGTTTATCCGTATGGATGCGAAAAGAAATATATATATATACATTTCATTCTGGGAAATTAACAATAGTATAAAGATAATTTTTTTTATATGCACATGGATTAAAACGCTTTTCATGTTTTTTCCACAAGCAAAACAGGGAAGAAACACAGATTACCATTCTCTGTTTGTACTCTTCTGATGCATTGTGAACTGCTGTGTCCCATGCGTTAGATCCACTGGCATACACTTTACTGGCGTCTAACATCCAGTACCTGGGGACAGAGCAGATAAATGCTGCAGCAAACACACATGCATCATGAAAAGCTGAACCCCAAAATGCAGTCATTTCAAGTCATTTCTTTTATAACCACTGTTGGTGGACATTAAGCCTAAAAAGTCTGCTGTATCATCTGATACACAAACTTCTATGAGCTCTAAATGACCAACACGATCAAGACTTGATCTGATAAACCTGTTTTTCACAATCTACTACTTGCCTTCAATCGTCTGATTGATAGTTTATACTTTTTAGCAAATAAAAGGCATTTTAGTATAATAGTACTTCATGGTTCATGTATTTTTGCTGTGAAATCTTTACTTTTATAAAGTATATGTAAGAATAACTTTTATATTATAAGTAATATTTCAAGATGAACACTTACTGGAATGAAGCACCTTTTTTATTTTAACTTGTTTAATTGCCTATACAGACTTTTTTTTTTTTTTTACAAAATAATCATGTTAAAATATGAGTATTAAATATGATACAGGCTTCTATTTTAAATATGATCATGCCCAGAGGAACATTTATTTATATATCTCTTTCAAGCATCACTGCATTGTATTGCATTGCATGTTTTGCCCCCAAAATAAAAACTACAGAGCTTTAATCATAAAACTAAGCACTTAAATATCTTATTAAGACATATTACTGGGAGACAAAGAGTGACGACTGATATTTATTATATGCATTTTATGTAAGTATACTTTTATACTGTTATAAAGATCTCACTGATCTGAAGCTATCTGAATTTAATCCTTTTTGGCCATATAAATATCAGCAACTGCATATTTTTGCTCATTTTGGGCCTCTGAATAAAATTGAGCTGTTTTTTCCTCTCGAGTGTGAGCTCCATATTCTCACTATATCACATTATATGAGCCATAAAAGCCTGATGTATCAAATATAATACAAAACATAAAACACATATGCAAACTTTATTTATATTTTGTATTTATTAAGTCTAATAATTAGTTTTCTGATTATTATTTCACAAGTCGAGCTTTAAACATCTGTAATTTTTTGACGATTGCATACTTTCTTGTATACCAGCTATAGAAAGCTATAGAGACAGCAGTAAGTCATTTATGCAAGCTCTGTTTTGATATTGCTGTTCAACGCAACATCACAGCATTGACTCACTTTGTCGGTCTTCCGAAAGCCATGTTATCCTCCTGCAAGAGCAGAGAAACAGACAGTCAACTCTGTATGTGTTCAATGTAACAATTAACAACAGCAAAGCCCAAAGCATAGGCAATTCATTCATAACATTTCCCTCTTTCCTGAAAGACACCATTATGAATTCACACGTCTCTCTTTGAAAGCCAATCCTGGGAGGTCTATATGAGCTGCAGCCCTCCGTTAGCTGTCACCCATCTTCTCAAATGTGTGCATTGACCTCAGCCATCTTTGCTCACGGTGGCTCAGTTCTGCTGCCAGGTCATGGGACTAATGACTGTAGCGCTGCAGCTGACTTCATGATGACGGCACCACAGGAACACACACAAGCGCCTCTGATTCAGTCCTTTAAACAGCACTACAAAATCAAACAATCTACTATAGTACATATGATACACAAATACTGCTTGCAAAATATTCATAGGACATATTTTACATGTAGATACCCTCATTTTTTCCAGTTTGATTTTAATACAATATTTTGCACTGACAGGTTTTTTTTTCACTTGTTTACTCTTAAAATTAGTTAAAAACGAGATCAATAAATTCTTAATGCCATGGGCAGTAAGATAAAAATACAATTTAAGATGCATTATAGGAAAATAAGTCTTAATATCTTACGTAGTGTTGCTTCTCAAGAATATGTATATTCTATTAAAGGGTTACTCCACCCCAAAATGAAAATTGTGTCTTTAATCACTTACCCCCGTGTCGTTCCAAACCCCTAAAAGCTTCGTTCGTCTTCGGAACACAATTTAAGATATTTTTGATGAAAACCGGGAGGCTTGTGACTGTCCCATTGACTGCCAAGTAAATTACACTGTCAAGGTCCAGAAAAGTATGAAAGACATCTTCAGAATAGTCCATCTGCCATCAGTGGTTCAACCGTAACGTTATGAAGCGACGAGAATAATTTTTGTGCATGAAGAAAACAAAAATAATGACTTTATTCAACAATTCGTCTCTTCTGTGTCTCTCCGCATCACCGTAGCGCCATTTTGGAGAATATCCGCTGGACGCAAGCAGCGTACGCTCTTCTTTGTCAGCCGCGACACAAAGATACGTTTTTGTCTACGTGTATTTATGCTTTGATTTGAACGAAAACAGCGCATCAGTGCAGCGTGGCTGACAGAAGAGCGTACGCTGCTTGCGTCCAGCGGATATTCTCCAAAATGGCGCTAC